GACCCGGGGCCGCAGCGCCCCCAGCCCGCCGGGCCTCGGGGAGAGGCCGCTGCGCGCGGGGTCTCCGAGGCCGCCCGGGCTTCCGCAGCGGCCCGCGGGCAGGAGGAGCAGGAGGCGCCGGCGACCAGACTGGCGCTTCGGCCTTTCGCCCGCGACAGAGCCGCCGTCCATCCCCGAGCCGGTCACTGGCCCGGGCGGGCGCGCGCGCGCGCGTCCGGGCCCCAAGTCGGATGGCGGGAGCGAGCGTGGGCGGGCTGCCGCCCTTCCTGCGGGGGCGGGGCTGCGCCCAGGGGCGGAAGGCCACGCCCACCAAAGGTCCCGCCCCTCGCTGGGCGTCGGCCGGGAACCCTTAGGCCTTCCCCCGGCAGGAATAAGCCCGCAGCTGGCGTGATTTGCATATTTATAGCGCTGCTGTCCTCAAAATGTTAATGACTTCCAAGGCCCTCCAGAGCCCCATGAAAAGCCCTGGGCCACCAAGCTGATCTAGATTGTACTGATTAACTCTGCTAAAGCTAAGTTCCCTAAAGTGTAGCTCTGGGTGCGTTTTAAGGAATTATTAACAAGTCTGAGGGAACGGTGCGTACACAGTGCATTTGAAGACTAGACTTTCGGAGGTCGGTAGACAGAAAAGGTTGCCATCGGAAAATTTAAAACGTGGGGGCGGTGTGGATGCCAAAAAAAGTACCCGAATAATAAAAGGAAATTCGAGAGTGTCACCTTAAGATTACTGCGTGATCAGTTACTGGTCCCTTGTATAACCTCAGAAATGTTTGTTCAATGAATGGATGAATGAATGAAGTGTATGAGGCATCATCCTGGAAAATCTTCAGACAGAAGGGATTGTGGTTGTCTTCCAGGGGTACACAGTGGTTAGTTGGGTGCCATGCCACGTGAACTTACGAGATGAAGGTGTTACTAGCCATAAGGGAGGTACAGAACACCGAGCAGAAGTATAGCTATGGAAGACAGTGCAGGTGTCTGTAAGAAGAGCTACCATGGCAAATCCTAAGTAAACCCTCTAGCTCCTCTTGCTCTTAGTTGACTTAAACATCACTAATGTTAGAGGTCGTGCAGGTGGACAAAATTGTTATTAGCATCGCTCTAGCTTTGCTGTGGATGACGTCTGCAGTATAGCTTTATAGTGGTTGCCTGCGTTGCTTTCCAGGCTCTTGACCGCTACTTTTCTTGAGCTTGCAGCAGTCCATCTGATCACTGAGTGACTTAAAAGCGGATACAAAGGCTTGGCCTCTCTGTCTCCATATTGTGTCTGTCCCTTTGTGCCATGTGGGTCAGATTCTACTCAGCTGTACACACAGACTCATTGATCATTTGAGAAAAACATGTTAAAATAACCGTATTCCAAGCTTAACCTGAGGGAGACTTTCCTAATGTCTCTGTCCCATTTCAAGGTGAAAGCCACCTGCCACCTGCCATGACCAGAAACACCAGACCATAAAGCAATGAAGAGGTGGCACCCGAGTTCCTGGAAGATCTTTCCTAGTCTACAAGCCTAGAATACTCCTCTCCTGTAGTATCTTCTCTGTCCTTCCTTATGCTGATCTTGTATCTGATAGGTTCTGGCCCTAGTAAAAATTGTTAAAATTATTATGATGGTCATTAATATGGCTGAAGCCCTTTAAACAAAAGCCCATCTTCTCCTCTTCCCCAAGACCACCTCCCCTCTTCTCCAACTCAGCCCAGGGTACAGTTTCTTTCACCCTGCTGTCTCAGGGAAGACCCCAATCAGCTCCCTCAAGTCTATCCAAACATCCCCTCCAAACTCCACCCTTGGCAAAAGACCATAAACGCCTCAGCCTCCCATTGTTCCAATCCAGAGAATTCCTCATCCTTCCCCATATTCTCTCTGTGTCCTCAAAGAAAATAAAGCCCTTTTCCCTTCTTCCTTTTGCCTGTTTCTCTGCTGAAAAGATCTATCAGTATCTGTAACTCAGCTCCCTTGAGTTGAGAAGCTAACCTCTGACCAAAGCTCCTGATGCTTCATTTTTGGCCACTGAACAGAGGTCTTTTTTCTGTGTCCTTTGGTAGTTGGCTATACGAAATGGCAGTAGAATTATAGCTTTTTTTGGTTATAAAAATATAAACCATTAGAAATGAGGTGCATATCAGATACTTAAAGAAGTATATGTTTCTAACACTGCTAGTGGAAGTGATTTAACAGTATTCCTCAGAACCTGTTCATGCTTATAAATTTTGCTCAAATCACCCAGCTCTGAAAATTGAACCTCAGGAAATAATCCAACACAATAAAAACTTAGTAGATAAGACCACTGAAACTTGTTATTTTTTGTTTTGTGTGTGTGTGTGTGTGTTCATGTGCGTGAGTGCATGTGCGCAGTGCTGAGAATTGAGCACAGGGCCTTGTGCTTGCAAGGCAAGAACTCTACCACTGAGCTACATCTGCAGCCAGAAACGTGTTATTTTATAGGTGAATGTGGTCAGCATTAGTACTTTTATATAAATCAACCTAGTACATGCAGAAGAAAAGTCATCATATAATGTGTACTTGTGAAAAACTGGACAAACTAGTGTTCAACATTAGCAGAATGGTTAGATAACGGTGGTGCAAGCATTGTTTTTTAAGTTGAAGCTTGATTTGCATAAAATAAAATCCACAGGTATTATGTGTTCAATGTAATGATATTTAACAATTTGTATATACGAATCAAAGAAGATAGAATATTTCTCCACTCAGAAAGTGTCCCGAACCAGCAGGTCAGTCAACGAAGGTCACCTGGGGGAGGAGCGGGGAATTGAAGAGGGGACAAAGGACAGGAGACGTGAGAAATGGAGGCAAGACAAAGATTCTGATCAAGCCTCGTTTATTTAGGGGAGGTTCTGGGTACATATAGGGGGTGATGGAATGAGGAAGTCTCGGCTCTTGGGGTCAGCAGGTATCTAGGCAATGGGGAGGGTGCAACCCCTGGGGCATAGCACGTGATTCCCAGGGAATGGGCAAGGTGAGAAAGGCCATAAACTTGACTCAGCAGAGGAATAGAATGGATACCAGTTATTGGCCTCCAACAAGAAAGTTCCTTCATGGTTCTTTTCTGTAAGTCTTTGCATAATTATGTATATATATTTAATCTCTCTCAAGGAAAATATCTAAGGATCACATTGTGAAACATGATAAGAGTAACTGAACGTGTTTTTTTTTTTTTTTTTTAAAAGATTTATTTATTTATTTTGTACAGGGTCTCACTACGCAGCTTGGACTCTTTTGTGATTCTCCTGTCTCAGCCTCCCCAGTGCTGGGATTACAGGTGTGAGCCACCACACCTGGTTTTGGTGGCTGGTACAGTGCTGGGCTGGCATGGCATGCTGTACCAGGATTGAACCCAGGGCGTTGCACTTGCTAGGTAGGTGCTTAGACCTCTGTACTATCACCTCGGCCCCAAGAGTAACTTTATAGACACTGAGAAATTGTTTATCCAAAGTGATCATATCCTTTTACACTATTACCAGGAATGAATGAGAATTTCTACTGACTTACATCATTGCCAAACCTGGAACTTTTGGGTGTTTAGGGAGTAGTATCTCATTGTGATTCTAATGTACATTTCCTTGTTACCTAATAACGTTGAGCAACTTTTTAAAGTACTATTGCTGTCATCAGTACTGAATGTAATAATATACGTAAAGTGCTTAGCACAGTACCTGGAATACTGTGGGAGAGAAATAAATGTCAATTCTGATCACAAGTTGGAACAATCATGTTATGGCTCATATCTAGATCTCCTTCAAGAGCCTCACAGATACAAAGGTTGGACCTCTGGGAGGTTACTGGCTTGTGGCAGTTGATGACTAACTTGGTATTAGGAGGTAGAGCCTGGTCAGAAGAGATGGGTCACAGGAACATGGCCCAGAGAGCGATGTATCTCACTCCCCAACTGTTCCCTTCATGCTCTTTGCTTTCTCTCCACCATACCATGAGCAGCTGTCCTCTACCACGGCTCTCCCATCATGCACTTCTGCTTTGGGGTCAGCAGACTATGAACTGAAACCTCTATCACTATGCACCAAAAATCCCTCTCCTCCTTTAAACTGTGTGTGTTGGGTATTTTGTTCCAGCAACCAGGAAAGTGACTAAGTTAGATTTCAGTAGAGTCCTTGCTGTGACTATATCTGACCATGTAGTGGCTCAGAAGCCTTTGGAAACAGTTCATGGGTGAAGTTTGGAGGTGCTGACTGGAGAGGCAGTCCTGGAATGCTGGAAACCAAGATAGAGGGGAGATTCTGTGAGAGCTCAGAAGACCAGAAGGCTGATAGAAATGCAGATGGCAGAGACCAGGCTGTGGAGGAGGACTGTGCTGGCAGGTGAACTCCAGATCATGCTCTGGTAGAAAGTTTATCTCCATTTTCCACAAGAGATAGAGAGCTAGAGCCACCAGCAATGCCAAGAAGCAAGCCCACAACTTGCTCCAGATGTTGGACTATGGATTTAGCGTTTTTCCCCGGTGGTTTCCAGTCTTATTTCTGTCTCATTGCTTTCTACCCATTGTCTCAGTTACTTTTTACTCATTGCTGGGACAAACTACCCAACACCCCAAATTAAGGAAGGAAAGGTTTATTTAGCTCACAGTTAGTGGAGGTTTCAGTCCATACTTGGCTGGCTCCAGGGGCAGAAGGCAGCAGTTCCTGGTGGTGGAGAACAGCAGAGAGCAGAGGAAGGAGCAGCAGTTGTGGCGTCTATCAAGCCTCTTGCCCTTCCTTCCACACTGACTGTAAAGAGTGGAGCTCTACTGTGAAGATCCAGCTCCTCTGAAGTGACACAGCTGCAAAGTGGCTCAGCAAAGATCGAAATCCAAGGAAGTATGGCACATATAATCCTTCCTCAATCCCTTTATATACTCTTTTTGTGCTGAGTCACTCTAGGGCAGCACCCCCCCCCCCATCCCAGGAGGATTCCGCTTGGTGGTATGGCCAAGTGGATCCAGGCAAGCTTCAGACATCTCAAGTTGACACAATGTATCAACCACCACACCCACTGTACCTCCTTTCAGGAGTGGGACTGTTCCATGTCAGAAGGATTTCTTTCTTTTTGATTCTTACAGGAGCTGACAGCTAAGAGTTTGCCTTAAGTCTCAGAGGAGAATTTGGACTTAGCTTCAGCAATACTAGAACTTGTAAGGCTTTGGCAAGTCTCAGCGATAGACTAAATGTATTTCCATAAAGAAATGTACATGAGTCATGTGGGGACTAAGGGT